GGAACGCCCTAAATGGCCTCACTTATGTATCTGGCTCTCAGCTGGGGTGGCCAGAATAACTAGGGGCTGACCAGGCCTCTCATCATTCAGTAGTCTAGCCTGAGCAGCCACTTTACATAGTAGCTTGGTCCCAAATGGAAGCTGCTAGGTCTCTTAAGACACCTAGCACTCGGCCGCTTCCACAGCATTCTGTGATCAAAGCAAGTTACAAAGCCAGACCGTATTCTAGGGAAGGAAAAATAGATTCCACTTCTTGATGGGAAGAATTGTTGGTTTCTGTCTTTGTAGACAGTCACCTGAAAACTCATAATTAAATTCAGGTCTTGCCTCTTATGCTTACCAAACCTTCAGTGGTTTGCTGAAACCAGCAATGACCAAAGAAGAAGTTTGTGAAATTGTCCTTGTGATTTCCACTCAGGATGAAGGGCAAGGAGATTGTGTGAGTAAATATGATAATATGCTAGTTATATAATAAATCCTACCCCCTTCACCATCTTCTTTGTTAATCGCCCTCTGTGTGAAATGTTCATATTGAATGTTTTCCTTCTGGTACCTGACACTCTCAGAATGTCTCGCATTCCCTTCATGTGGTAAGAACTTGATTTGACCATTGAATTGAAAACACAGAAAACAAGTATTACTGAAGCTTTTGTTTTCAGTTGCTTTGAACAGAAGTTGGGATTTCTTCTCTGTGACCTCAGGTGAAGTAGTGTGAGGTCTCTTGATTAAAGGGACATTCAAGATGGCACAGCTACTAATGAGGTTTGGAACCTTCCTGGTGGCTTATAAGCAAGCCACCTTGCTGGTGGCCCCTGGTAAGGTAGTAAGTGTTGGGACCAGGTCTTTTCATGTTCCTCAGCAGTCACATACATTGAATTTTATCACACAGTGGCTTACAGATATTTGCACCAGTGTGTATTTCTGTATATGCTCCTTCAGACATCAGTCAGATTCTTGAACAGAGGGATCTAGTCTTTATACTATGACTTCACTTTTTTCTGTAAAACCTCTATTTCCTCTCCCGAAACAATTTACAATGTAGTCATAAGTTTATCCTTATAAAATACTTACCATATGTGTAGGAGTGTGTGTGTGTGTGTGTGTGTGTGTGTGTGTGTGTAAGAGAGAAAAGAATGACATACCAGCTTCCATATCAAGCCTCATTTCACTGGTAGAGCCAAGAGTGAAACCAGGGTTCAATGTGAAGACTTCTTATAAACATCTGTCTTCCACAACTCCAGTGTGGGAATTTATGCCAGCTTTTAGTGTGAAGACCACCATTAGCCCTGCCTTTTTTATATGGAACATTTTTTGTGTTATATTATTACCTTGAGTCTATTTGTTCTTTGAGGTAGGCTCTGTTCCACATAACAGAAACATTAAAATAAATGACCATAATATAACTGGACAGTGTTACACTGTTGGAGGCATTTATATGAGGCGGTGCAGGCATGAAATAGAGCAGGCAGCCTCCTGAGAATGCAAGAGAAGTTTTCATGAATAATTTGGAATATACCCAGTGATCTTGCTTTCATTTCCTTAGTATCTGAAATGGGGGATCCTCTTAGAAACCCAGTTTGCAGAGTATATAGTATGCTGCTGTTTTAAAGAAGATAATACAGTATGGAAGCTCTGTCTTGGGTATCCTCCCCTCTCAAAGAAACAGGAGAGGAGGGGATCACTGTAAAGAGGAAAGGAGTCTACCATCATTGGAGGATGGAATCATTCTATATTGCATATCTAATACATTTTCCTGGAAAGGAATCTTGCAAACTCACACTTTTTGTAGAAATTCCACTAAAAAAATCTATATTGTCAGTTTCTTGAATATCTTTGTGCTTGCCTTGTAGGCTGAAGTAGTAGCAGCTTTCCAACTAAAGGAAAACCTCTGAGCTGTCAGTATTTACTCAGAAAAAGACTATCCTCCGAAACTACCAACTAAATTGACTAGTGTCAGTGGAGAAGTATATTGCCTAAAAATGGGTAGCTGATTAAAGATAGCTAAGTTAAGGTGCCAGGTAATACACACTTATTTGATACCGAATACAGTACCAAAGGAAATTAGCAGCAGAGTCTTGAGATACTTGCAAAGCCTCATTTGCAGTGGTTTGTTCAGTTTAAGGGGAAAAGGCATCTGCCCTTACTATGCTGCGCACTGTAGGGAGTGCAGAAGTAGGTAAGATCAGTAAGGAGTTCGAGTTCTGAGAGGGGAATTAAGAACAATCTACAAGAAGACACTGGATACGGCAGAATGTAGTTAAGTACTTGCCCAAAGACGAGAGAGGTGACTGTAGTGAGGAGGGACCAGAAATGGCTTTGAAGATGGTCCTTGAAAGCTAGATCAGGCTTTAAACAGGAGAAGATGGGAAGAAAAGATAAGAGCAAGAGGAATTTTGAGAGCGCTCCAGTGAGCAGTGACACGTAGGGGACCACGTTCATGTTCTGTTTTGGCGGAAGCTGACAAGTGAGGAGGGAAGAGAGACAGTGGTGCCTAGCAACATAGACTGGCTGACGCCATCATCGCTTTGCTGAGAGGTTTATGGAGCTCACAAATGGTGTGTGATTGGAAAAATGATTTTGCTGCATTATCTATTCTGGATTGGAAGACCTGCAGGTCCAACAGGCTGTTCTTTCAGGGATTCAATAAAAGGTGCCCTCACTAAATGCAGTCAGTGGCTGTGGACATCCCAGGCAGTTGTTGAGCAGAGAGCCAAATTGCAGTCTTACTTGTCCTACCAGGATGTGGTGACTAATCACAAACGCGAAAACTTGTTCAGCCCCTTCTTCAAACCTACCCTCACAACCAATCTGCAGAGGTAAATAGTGAAGTGAGGTAACAGTTGAACCCTTCAGTCACTTAATAGGAATTTCTTAGTTGAGTGGATGAAGTATTTGCAGCCCTGAACTGATGAGTGCCTTCTTCTGTGGCCCATCAAAAGGTAATGAGATTTCAGAACTTAAAAGCGCACAGGCTCAGTTTGTTTTGTCTCAATTTTGGAGCTATTCAAACTTCTCATTGCATTGGTGATTGGAAAAAAAAAAAAAAACCCTCACTGTCCCCAACCTTTGTGCTAAATGTTTAGGTATGATCTGTTTATATAACACAAGGGAGGAATTTCTTCATTCTAAATGAAATGAGCAGCATCGTTAGGATCTCGGGTTAACCAGACTTTAGTCCTGGGGAGGGTTTTGTAGGACATGAAAGGCTGTTCAGCTGACCCCTTTGTGCCAGGGTGGCACTCAGCTGGAGGTAGTCGGAAAAGATTGCCAGCACAGGGAGATTTCCACGTTACACGTTACCACTGCGGCCAGAGATCTGTACTGTTGAACAAATAACCGGAGAATTTGTGTGGTTTGGGTCATGTTAGGACTAGCAGAAATCTCTGAAATCTGTTCTACTGGCATCGCTGTTATCAGTAATCATAGAGAACTATTTTACTGAGTTTTACACCAAATTTGATACCATCACAATTACATTTTGGATACACTTGAATTGCCTGTGTTTCAGCTAATAGTGTTATGTACTCCCTGGGAGATGATGATGCAACGGAACAGGTGGCTGGAGATAATTAGAATTTGAATTCGACTCTCATTTTGCCATCTTCCTGAAAACGAAATGGGAGTGGTTAATCACCAAGAATAAACTGTGTGTCAGCAAGCTCTCAGCAAGGCGCTGCCCTTAGAACACACTGCCGCTCTAGTATACTGTTTTGGGATGTGTTTCCAGCTGTTAATAGGGGAGCAGTCTCCGGTTTGACTGGGAGTGGCTCAGCCTGAATCGTTTGCCCCATCTTTTGTATTGGTTTTATTTCTTCAATTAATAGTTTGAGTTGTTAAATGAATTGGAGAGTGAAGCAACACCCTGTTGTCTTCTTGTCATCTTTGCCTTAGCCCAGCACAGTGCTGCCTGTAGGCATATAGCAGAGCAAGCTTGTGCATGCTTTTAAATGGCCCTCTGGAGTGGAAAGCAGCCTCTCAGCATGCAAATGAGATTGAATTTTATGTTCTTGACACCTTGGCAAAAAATCTTGTATTTGGACTCCTTCAGCTTGAGAACTGACCACTGTGGTGGGCCCCACACAGGAAGCACTTCTTTAGGTCTATAGCATGAGTATCTTTGTTATGTGCCTGACCAGTCCAGATTTAGTCATGTTGCTATAGTACCAGGTTTCATTAATTTTCTGGTCATGTTCTTCTAATAGCCAGATGGTATAGGGATATGTTTTTTCTTTGCTTAATTTATCCAGATCTGATTATCTGTATTTTACAGGGTTTTTAATTTTGAAAAATAATTAGTAGAAGACTGATAAGTAGAGATACATGTCTGCGTGTTGTATTTCAGTATGTGAGCAGCAGATATGACATGTTTAGGCTTGCTGGGTATTTGAATTCAGAGAGTGAGTTATTACTCTCCTCTGTACCCTCTTGGCATTTTTGAAGAGTTCTTGTCTTATAATATGTCATAATACTTGTATTTGGAGACAATAACTGGAAAGTTACCAAATACCAGTGGTTTTGGATAATCAAAAGTCATTTATGGGTTTTGAAAGATAAATGAAAGTTAAGGAGTTATACATATCTTAGTGTTTAATTTTTTTGTGCTTTTTCTCATTGTTTTGGTTTCTAAGAATTGGTGGCCATCCAAGTGGCTCCAGAATGGCTCTGCACCCTACTAAAACAGGAGTATTTGCTTTAAAATTTTCAGTGAACTGTTACATCTTTCCTTGGACCAGTTCATTCAAAATTATTGGTCTTCTCAGACATAGGATTAGTCCAGTTAAAAGGGTGAGCAGTCTCTTTGAGGCTTGCAAAAGATTTAGGGGTGGAAGGATGGAATTTCTGAATGAACTGTGCTTTATACTTGGGCTTGCAGGAATTGTGGGAGGCGCCTCAGTGAAGAGATGGACCAGTGTGTATAATCATGGAGTCTCCTTGCTGACCATCACCACCTGCTCTCCTTGATAAGTGAGAGTGGTCGGGGAGAAGGAAAAGAGGTCAACATGAAGCTAAAGCAGCGAGTCGTGCTGTTAGCAATTCTCCTTGTCATCTTTATCTTCACCAAAGTTTTCCTGATTGACAACTTAGATACATCAGCTGCCAACCGGGAGGACCAGAGGGCCTTTCACCGAATGATGGCGGGCTTGCGGGTGGAGCTGGTGCCCAAGCTGGACCACACCTTGCAGTCTCCCTGGGAGATTGCAGCCCAGTGGGTGGTTCCCCGGGAAGTGTACCCTGAAGAGACACCAGAGCTGGGAGCAATCTTGCATGCCATGGCCACCAAGAAAATCATTAAAGCTGATGTGGGCTATAAAGGGACGCAACTGAAAGCCTTACTGATACTTGAAGGAGGACAGAAAGTTGTCTTCAAACCTAAGCGGTAAGTTTTCACCTTGGAAGTTATCTGTGCTGTTTGGTTCTCACCTGGAATTTGTTTGAGTGCTCATCCCCCGCTCCTACTATTCTCTTCAGTAAAATGGGAGGGAGAGATGTGAAGGTCTCTGAAGTCTTTTCTAGCTCTTAATGTTCCATGATTCTTTGAGTAAGGGAAACTTGCAGGAATATGTTTTGGTACTATATTAGATTGAACACTTTACAGTGAGAGCTCTCCTTGATTTCTAAATTTATCAAGTACTATGTGCCAGATGTTAGAGATACAAAATGAATTGGTTAGGAAATAAGCAACTTGTCAACGTAAGTGTACAGTTAAAGACCAGATAACCATGTGTCAGAAATGCTGTGGAGTAGGAGCTACCCAGGGTTGGAGTGAGTTTTGGATGGGTAACGTAAGTCCTTTTTAGTGCTAAAGCTATGATTCTTTCACTTGAGCTTTGGTTTTGTTTTAATTAATAGGCTTTATTTTATTTTACTTTATTTTAGTAATTTTAGGTTTGCAGAAAAATCGAGGGGGAAGTATAGAGCGTTCCTATCTGCCCTTGCTCTTCCTCCCCAGTCTCTCCTATAATTAACGTCTTCCATCAAATTAGTACCTTTGTTACAGTTGATGAGCCAATATTAATTTATTAACTAAAGTCCATAGTTTATGTTAAAGTTCACTCTTTGTGCTGTATATTCTGAGTGTTAATAAACTTATAATGACAAGTATTCACCATTACACCATCATAAAGGACAGCTTCCCTGACCTCAGAGTCCACTGTGTTCTAGCTATTCATTCCTCCCTTCCTCCCCCTGAATCCCTGGCAACCACTAATCTCTTTAGTGTCTCCATAGTTTTGCCTTTTCCAGAATGTCATATAGCTGGAGTGATACCTTTTGTAACCTTTTCAGATTGGCTTCTCACCATGTTTTTTAAGGTTCCTCTGTGTCTTTTTGTGGCTTGATGGCTTTTTTTTTTTCCTGAATAATATTCCATTGTATAGATGTACCACAGTTTGTTTAGTCATTCACCTACTGAAAGTTATCTTGGTTACTTCCAAGTTTCGGCAGTTGTGAATAAAGCTTCTGTAAACATTCATGTGCCGGTTTTTGTGTAGATGTAAGTTTTTAGCTCATTTGGGTAAATACCAAGGAGCATAGTTGCTGGACTATATAGTATGTTTAATTTTGTAATAAACTACCAATCTGTCTTCCAAAGTGGTTGTTTCAATTTACATTCCCATCAGCTATGAGTGAGAGTTCTTGTTATTCCACATCGTCATTAACATTTGGTGTTATCTGTGTTTTGGATTTTGGTCATTCTAATGTGTGTGTAGTAATACCTCGTTTCTTTTATCTGTTTTAATCAGGGAACTGAGTCATTTTAGTTGCCTCAGTCCAAATTTGAACTGGAGAAAGAGCTAGTTCATATACTATTAAACAGTGATCCCTTTGGACTTCTCTAAGGATCTACAGAGAGGATTTGTGTGGCAGTTCTATAGTATGACTATTTTTTTAAGTTTTCTGTGTGTATATGAATTTGAAATAGGTTAACATGATGGTAATCTATATTCTTTTGACAGGAATTAGTTACCAGTGTATTTTCTCAAAATTTGCAAGGTCTGAAATTATCTGTGGGCTAAACATTTTTTCATTCCTCAGTGCATCTTTGGAGAGAATTATAACAGATAACTTGGGGTCTCTTGCTGGAGTGGGAGAAGAAACATGGGGTGATGATGTGCAAAAACTTACTGTGACCAGAGTAGTTGGCTTAGCTCTCTTCATGATCCAAATACCAGTAGATAATAGGCAGCCAGAGAGCTAGTATATTGGGATTCCAGAAATGGAAGAGATCTCCATTTGCCTGGAACTGGGAGGTATGGTGTGTGGAAGATGTGGAAATTAGGTAATGTGGAAAAAGCATGGTTATGTGGACCGTGAATCTAATTTCTGTTGCATGCACGCCGTTCGCCAGGTGTTACACTAAGGACTTTTGTATGTTAATGCTTTTAACCTTCATCACAACTGTGGACAGTTACGGTGCTTATTTTAAGACCCAGAAACTGAGACGCAGGAAGAGTAACTTGACAGGGCCACCCAGCAGTGACACGGAGCTGGCGTTTGGATCTGCCAGGGTGAGAGCAGCTGGGGTCCTGCCTCACACACGCGAGCCTCTCATGTTTGTTTGTCGTCCTGTAGGAGAGATGACATGGATCATCCATTTTCGAAAATTTGCTAGTTTTCTTTAGAAATGTGATCCCTGACCTCTTGATTTGTAGCCTGAGCGATCAGCAGCATAAGCAGACTGATGGAAAGAAAGCAAGCTAAAAACAAGAATTAAGTTTGTGTAAAAAGAGATGAATTGCAGGCAGCTTGTGTTTAAATAAAAGGATATCCTTTTCACACCCACTGTTTATACACTGGTAAATTAAAGGTGAGATAGGACAGCAGGAAGTGTTAGAAGGCAGATATTACTGACAGTGTGCAATGTTAGTGTTAGTTCAGGCGCTTTGCAGATAGGTCTGCAGTGTTCAGACAAGATATAATATAAATGGAGGGTGGAAGAGGCCAGACTAGTGAGAAGGGGAAGTGGCAGCGGATAACTGCTTAAGCCAACGTTAGTCACTGATGCTTCATCTCCTCTCTTACTACCACTGCAGCCTTCCCATTACTTTCCTCTTCCAGACCATCCTGAAAACTACTTTCATTCTTCTCCCAAATACCCATATTATCACTGTGCTCCCCAGCTTTAAAACTTCCAGGGATTCCCATTACTCACCAGATGAAACCCAGCCTCCATAGCCTAATGGCCAAGCCCCCAACATCCTGGTCCTCCTCTCTCCACCCAGCTCTTTATTCTTGTCAAGGCAGCCCTTTCATCTCCCATCATCTCCCAAATAGCCCTTGTCTATGCTCGGCTCCAGGGTTATTCCTCCCCTACCCCCTGCAAGCTGTTGAGGCCCCTCCAGTGGGTGGTAGCACCCTAGTCACTGCACACACTGACCTGGGCTGATTATACCTGGCAATCTCGCAGGCTGGGGAAAGTGGGTGCACATATAAGTGCTTGTAGAAATTGACTCCAGTCCGAAAACATCCAGCAAATTGCTATTCTGACCCCAGGGGCCTCTGAGACTATTTAGTCCTAGTGTAAGTGCAAATTAATGTCCTTGTTCACATTCTGATGTCCTTCACCAGGAGGATAGGAGTGATTTATCGGCAGTTACTGTTTGAATTTCGTTGTTCTGTCAGTGACTTAAGATGGATTGCTCTGTTGAGAGGAGGATCTAAGTCCTTCCTGCTAAGTTGAGACATGCACCTTTCTTTAACAGCCACTTGTGGTTCAGCATTTCTGAAGCCTGGTTGTCCATGTCCTCCTGTCAGAGATGAAAGATTTGTATAGTGCATGAAATATACAGGAATACAGTCATGCCTTTATTTTCACATTTTGCCTTACATTATTATAAAAGTAATTTTGTTTTTTAATGTAGCTGTATCTTTTCTGGAAGTACATTGGTTTTCATAGGCAAAAACTGCAGTTATGGTGGGACAAGAACAAGCTGTCCAGGGCCCAGAGCTTGGGAGAGGTGAAGGATCATGGGAAGTGCTGAGAGGGCCCATGGTGATCAACTAGTCTTAACTTAGTTTTACTTCTGGGGAAAGTGAGATCCAGGGTTCTGACTTCCATGTTTCACAAAAACCAAACCATGAACTAAGGATTCAGACCTTTGGACTCCAGTGCAGTTCTTTCATTTTGATTCCTCTTCCTTTCCCATTTCCTTCCCTTCCTGTTTCTCCAGCCCACTCCCAAAGTTTCTGAATTTTTCTGGGGTTTTACATTTCACTCTGTGCAGCCTTTCCATGTTCTGGAAAGTTCTCTAACATTTCACTGAAAGGAGTGGACTGTGTATCACCACAATCTTCTGTGGCTCCGCTGGAGTCCTGAGAAATAAAGTATTCCAGGCCTGTCACCTGCAGCTGTAGTGGAGAGAGAAATGCTTGAATAGTGTCAGCTTTCGCTGCAGTCCTATTTAAAAACTGAGACTTTTAATTTGGAGGTAGCAGGTGTAATCCTGGGCAGCCTAAATGATGCTTTGACACCAGAGACAAAAAAATTCATGAGTATATTGACCAGGCTGAGAAGAAACTGGTGTCCAACCAGGTGTTGAGGCACATCTGTCTCCTAACATAAATATTTCATTGCTTTGACTTGAAAATGTGTTTTATGAACATGGTTTCACTTTATATTCTGTGGTCATTTATGTTGAAGTTCACTGCCTTATATAGTACTGTTTCTCACTTCCCCATGGCCTTTTCAGCATTGGAGATCCAAGTGACCTTAGTGAAGTGGCTCCTCTTCACATCATTCTCAACTTATTTCTGTCTTGTAATGCCTACTAGGTCTCCTTTTGATTCAGGAAATGCAAGTGAACAGTAGAAGTCATAAGTGAATTGTGTTCAGTTCTTCCCATTAACAAGTTTAAGTTGTTTCTTTTTATATAATTAATAGAAAGAAATATGCCAGTTTTCATTATCATTCATTTATGTGATGCATGTGATATAAATCATCAGAATGGAGTTTGAGATGAAAGACATCTTCGTTGGTGTTGTTTAGTCACTAAATTGTGTCTGACTCTTTGCAACCCCATGGACTGCAGTGCACCAGGCTCCCCTGCTCTTCACCATCTCCTGGAGTTTGCTTAAATTCATGCCCATTGAGTCGGTGATGCTATCCAACCATCTCATCCTCTGTCGCCCCCTTCTCCTCCTGCCCTTAATCTTTCCCAGCATCAGGGTCTTTTCCAATGAGTCAGCTCTTCACAAAGACATCTTAGAACTTGCTTTTTGATCCAGCCCCTAATATTATAGATAAGAAATCTAAGACCCAGAGAAAAGAAGGGTTTTACTCAAGGTTATCCAGGCAGGTAATGACAGAGCTTTACCTAACTCTCACTGCAGTATTCCTTTCACTGCATCATCATAAACTTAGAATAGTTATTCAGATAACTTTTTAAAATTTTTCCTTTTCCTATTTATTTAACAAAACCTGAAGCATATCAGGACCATTGTTTTCCCCAAGAAATTTAAACTTCTCTAATAAGCCTTACCATAGCCATTCTGGTAAGCAAACCTTTTAATTACATATTTGTCTTCATTATTTCAGTTTAGTCTAATAGACATTTCAGTAGACATTTATTAAGCACCAACTATAGACTTAGCACTGTGCTAAAGATACAAAGAGTTCAGAAAAGTACCTTATAGTTTTACTTAAGCTCCGTTGAAAGTCTTTAGGAGGGGTAGAAATAACATCTGTGTTTTATTCATAGAATGATTGCAGAAGTAGATGTATAATTCTAGTTTTCTTCTCCACTTCATCTTCACGTCATCTACTAGTGATCCCTGCTAACCCATGACTGTTCTCAGGGTTGACAGAGAAAGTTACTAGAGCGAAATCAGCCTTGCAGAGTTTCTGTCCTGCCTCTTGTACTGTCACCGCTGGTACTGATGTAATTCATGTCTACATCTGTGCTTCCCGTTCACTCTGCAGGTATAACCGGGACTATGTGGTAGAAGGGGAGCCATATGCTGGTTATGATAGACACAATGCAGAGGTAGCAGCCTTTCATTTGGACAGGTATGTGTAATCGCAGTGGGCTCCATTCGTTTTATTTCATTTTAAAAATACCTTGGAGAGGACTTGTGGACTCCTTTCAAAGGAGTGTAGTTTTTAAAAAAAAGTCTAATAACTTTGACTTGTTAACTTACTTTAGATAACTGATTGCTTCCACTAAATTTGTATGAGTGCCTCATTATTAGGGTAAATAAAATGGCAAGAAGAAAACCAAAGTTTGACTTCAAATCCCTAAATTGAACTGGTCATTAATTGGGCCTGGCAGTCCTGGTTTTTGTTTTGTTTTGATTTTGTTTTTAATAATACTCATTTATCCTCATATGCTGGAAACATAACATGACATATATGTAAATATTATTTTCTTTCATACAAAATATGCACAGCTTCAATAACCAGGATATTGTAAATGTTTAAGTTAATGAGGAAAACTTTTTAAGCCGGTCATTAGTCAGGATTCTTGTAACTGAATTGTCTAGTGTCCCAGTTGCTCCTTTTGATCAGCTCTTTAATCAGGGCATGTTGATAGACTTTAAAAGAAATTATTCACTATATTTTTTTAAATTAATCTATAAGGAAACTAGAAGAAAATAAAGATGAATTTTTGTCTTTTTTCAGGATTAGGAAGGATTTTCTAGGTATAAAAGCAATAATTTAAAAATCACAAAGAGGGACTTTCCTCGTGGTCCAGTGGTTGACTCTGTGCTTCCATTGCAGGAGAGCATGGGTGTGATCCCTGTTCAGGGAACTAGGATCCCGCATACTGCAGCCAATAAATAAATTTTCAAAAACTCAGTAGACTCAACTAAAAAAAATTAACTCGTATGTCAAAAAACGTAAAAATTTAAAAGCAAACTAACTTGGGAGGAAAATACCTGAATCTAATATATAATCTAAGCATTAATAGCCTTAATATATAAGTTTATAAAATCTTATACATACTCTAAAACACTAGTAGAAAATGGACTAAGAACACAGTTGGCTGAATAGAAACTATTGATTGCTGATAAATATGACAGCGGGAGTTCATCTTCACCAGTAATAAAAAAAAAAATCCAGAGAATTCCCTGGTTGTCCATCGGTTAGGACACCACACTTTTGGAAGGCTCAGGTTCAGTCCTGGTTAGGAAACTGAGATTCCACAAGCCACACAATGCGACCAAAAAAAATTCAGTGAAATAATGGGATACTGTTTTCTCCTACTGAAAGTGACAAAGATTAGAAAAAAGACAGTACTTTATTGGCAGGAATAGATTGGCATCCATATGCTGCTTGTGTCGTTGTTAATTGGTTCCATCTTTAAGAACTCCGGCACCATGTATCCAGAATCTTCATGTTCATACCCTTTGAATGAATAGCTACCTTTTTATGCAAACATCTAAGACATTTCTCGGAGGATATTTCTAGAAAGTACTCTAGAGAATCAGACATTCAAAGATACATATAGCAAGATCTTAGCTAGTAGCATTTTCAGTACCGAAAATCTGAAAGCAACCTAAACATCTAATGACAGGGAACATTAAATGAATGTTCATTCATAATACCATGAGTTTTCACTGCCCCTATTAAGACCTAGTGGGAAAGAGTTGTATAAATCCTACTCATCACTTAACTGCACATTAGAATCAGTCTTTGTAAGACCTTATTTGTTTCCTAATTTTCTTCATCCCTAATCCCTTTCCTATTTCTCTGTTGATGACATAAGCAGTGCCTGAAGATCTTTTCCTATAACCATACCAATATTTCATATTACCCAACATACTAATTTTTGTTAATCTGATATATGTATAGTGGTATCTCATTGTTCCTTTATATTCCGCCAGTTATTGGCAGAGATACCTCCTCATCTTTTCACAACGTAGCACCTATTTGTTAACTTGGAGTGAAGTAGTCTTTGTACAGAAATTATTACTTTGGATATTAAGTAAATAAATAATGTTTCAATTTATGACCTGTGCTTTGGTGTCTTGTATTTAAAAGCCCTTCCCTCCCTCTGAAAGTTATTCTCTGACCAGACCCCTATCCCTTTTGTTAACTGCCCCAGCCAGGCTCAGGTGCCACTGAATATGACTTCCCAGCATTAAATGGATGCTCTTCTTTGGTCTGACAGTGGTCAGTGGGGAGAAAAGATACTTCCCCACTTTCTTTCCCACCCCGTGCTCCTTACACTTTTTTGCTCTGAGTTGCTTTTTCTCCATTACATTAGGATTTAACCCCCTCCTCTGGCCTCAGAAGGTTCTCTCAATTTTTATGTTATTTCGATAGATCTGTTGATCTCCTTGCTTTTGTAGCTTTTTTTAAGAATGAGTTTAGGATAGAGAGTCAGTCAGCAGCCCTGAGCAATGGATTATTTATTGCATCATCATTTGTAATTGTAGAAACCTTAAGACAACTTTCTAAGAGAGTCAAAAAAGGCTCCTGATGCAATGATGAGTGAAAAGCAGGAGGCAAAATTGCACATAGTATAATTTCAATTATGTATATACACACAAGAGTGAGTATGTATCTGTATATACATGTCTGAAAAATATGGTCGAATGCCAAATTGTCACTGGTTATTTCTGGATTGTGGAATTATGGATGATTTTAGTTTTCTTCCATAAATGTTCTGTGTATTCTGAATTCTGCCGCTCCAACTTTTCTTCAGGGAGTGTGTGTTTTTTTAGCAAGAAAATTTCCTTTTTTAAAAAAATGGTGGTGCTTGACCATAAGGCTGCACTTTGAGACCATTAGAAGTATCTTAAAATGTATCTGTATTTAAGTTGTCCTATGAGTGTATCCTTTTAGGTTAATTTGTATAGTTTTTTTATCAGTATTCTGTTTTATGCAAAGATTTGAAACCGTGTGTGGGTTTAGGCCCAATCTTTTTTTAATGCTTTGTTAAATTTATTTTAAAATCTTACTATGAAAAATTTCTAACAAACATAGAACATTATAATGAACCCATAGACCCACTCCCTAGGTTTAACAGTTGCTCACATTTTGCCAGATTTATCTTCAATCAATTACATCTCGGTATTAAATTCATAAATATATGTACCTCTGAAAAATATTTACCAGCAATCAACAGTATCTTTTGGAGAAGGGCATGGCAACCCACTCTAATATTCTTGCCTGGAGAATCCCCAGGGACAGAGGAGCCTGCTGGGCTCCAGTCCATGGGGTTGCAGAGAGTCAGACATGACTGAGTGACTAACACACACAACTGTACCTTTACACACCTAACACGATTAACTGTGATTTTTAAGATTTTTGTCTGGGGAATTCCCTAGTCAAGGAACTAAGATCCTATAAGCTGTTCAATTCACCCAAAAAAAAACCCTACTGTTTAAAGTACATCACCATAGATACACAACAAGCAACAAAGATTTACTGTACAGTACAGGGAACTATAGTCAATATCTTGTAATAACCTATAATGGAAAATAATATGAAAAATAATATATGCGTATTCTGGTTTAGTCGCTAAGTAGTGTCCAATTCTTGCAACCCCATGGACTGTGACCTGCCAGGCTCCTCTGTCCATGGGATTTCCCAGGCAAGAATTCTAGAGTAGGTTGCCATTTCCATCTTCAAATATATGCATATATGTATAACTAAATCACCTTGCTATGCATCTGAAACTTTGTAAGTCAAATATACTTCAATAAAATACATATATATATTTAAATTTTTTAATAAATAAAAATAAAATATATCCCCAAAGATTTTTCTCTTCTGTTCAACCTTCCAAACCAGGATTCTAGGTTTCCGCCGAGCTCCCTTGGTGGTTGGCAGATTTGTTAATCTGCGGACAGAGATCAAGCCTGTTGCCACGGAGCAGCTCTTGAGCACCTTCCTAACCGTAGGTAAGAAGGTTATAGAGGACGTTTAGATAAGGCAATAGTTAATAAATCATCGTAGAGCAAGCTTGTTCATGACTTTTAGGAATTGAAGAACTCAAGGGAATGCAAAAGCAAAGCAGGCAACTTGTTCTCAGGTTCCTGGGGGAAATAGATCTAAAGGTAGATGGCAGGAAATGGGAAGTTTTCCCTAATGTGCACTTTGTGCATGAAGTTGGAAGTGAGATCACTTATGCTAGTGTAGTTAGGGAATAATTTTATTTCCTTCTGCTTGATCTTAAATCTCAAAATCAAATTTTGGCCTAAATCAATTATTGTCTGTATATCATTGCTTTGATGGTTTCTTTCATATCCCTGTACTTTCCTGGAAACTGTGTCCTGTTTCCTGAAAATTGAGCAAACCTTAAGGCGGCTCTGTAAAAGGGTCAGAAATTCCCTTGTAGGGTTGTACTTGGGCCTGGAAGATCATCACTGCCACCTCCTACTCTGCGAAGGTCAGCCTGTAGCTCATTGTGTGTGGAACTGACTGCCACCCTTCTGGCCTCTGTTCTCCACCGTCACGCTCTGAGTTGAGGGGTCTACGTAGAACTCTCACTGTTGTTCTCCTTGCAGACACAGTGAGGATAGGAGGAATTCAAAGGTGCTGTGGTCTCCAGTCTGAGCCTCCTCATGGTGACATTTTCAATAACACAGTGCTCTGCATTGATATGACTGTTGAAATAGACATTGCAAGATGAACTTCACCTTGCTTTGCTAGAGTGAATGTATTTACATTTATAATGAGATGAAACTGAATATTTAAAGCACTTGTGACAGATTCATCGTTCAGAATTTACACTTACAGGCTACGGCTCTGCCGTTCTTAGAAATAATCAGAAGCATACAGTGTCACTGATTTGTTTCATATATTTTCTAATCACTTTTGCTTGTCCAATTTTATGCTCAGGCAAACATGCATTCCTGATGGGTGAGAGGAGGTCAAGAATAGGCCCGCTATCTAGAGATTAATGGAGGTTAATTCTCCTATACTGACTGTGCAAGGTGTGGGGAGAAGGGAGAGGCCCGAACTAGGAGTGTAGAGGAGGTTATTAACACTTTGACTAAGTATTGAAGAATCTGTATATGCTATCCAGGCAGCGTAGAGGGCTGGGCATTGGGCAAAATAGCAAGAAGTAAATAGAGACAAGGGCACACACCTGAAGTACACAGAACTGTTAACGTTTAAGGAGAGCTTCTGCATACAGCCTGCAGCATAGGGCAGTGTCTTAGTGTGGCTGCTGTAACAAAGTATCTTGGACTGTGCGGCTTAAAGAATAGGGATTTATTGTTTTCACAGTTTTGGATGTTGGAAGTCCAAGACCAGGATGCCTGTAAGGTTGGGGTCTGGTGAGAGACCTCTTTGTGATTCACAGGCAGCAATCTTCTTTTGTACCCTTACATGACAGAGATAGAATGAAAGAGAAATCAGCTCTCTCATGTCTCTTCTTATTGAATATTAAAGGCACTAATCCTATCATGAGGCCTCCTCCCCAAAATTCCAGCTCCCAGTACCATCATACTGGGGCTTCACTGTGTGAATTTTAGGATGGACATGAGCTTTCACTCCATTGCAGGCCATTCGAGGGATGCACTGGAGACAGGTTTTTAAATAATAATGACCTTAGCACAGTATAACTAAATTTGGGGTAGCCTTTGCAGCTTGACAAAGCACTTTCACACAGTTACCTTATTTAATCCTCTTGATAGAGTTCAATAAATAGGGGCGATTTATCCACAGTTTAGTCATGAAAAAGAAGTTTAAAAAAATTAAAAGACTTTCTCCAAGTCACAGATCTACTAATTGTTAACCAGGATTTAGACCCAGATTTTAAGACTCTAAAATATTTGATCTGCTTATATTTTTATATTCATTCATTTATTCATTGAACAAAATTTCGTTTCACTTCTGTATGGCCGACTCCAGACCAGGTGTTGAATATACAGAAGTGAATGACACCTTCCTGCGTTCAAGGAGCTTTGTCTAAAGGAGGAGGAGCCAGACATGTACAGAGAGCCTGTGGGACTGTGGAAGAGGAGAGGGTCTAGAAGCTAGGGTCAGGGTGACAGTTTTAGCCAAGTTAATGAGAGAATAGAAGTCCTGCAGGAAGATACAATGGAAAAGAACACTCCAGGTTTGGAAAGAACTCTTACTAAAGTTCTTTGGGCAAGTGATTCCTTTGGCACCCTAAAGCAGCTTTTCTGTCCGTTCTTAAAATAATATTTTTAAATACATAAAATACACAGATTTATAAATAAAACCAACAATATTGAAGTATATATTTTTGACCTAAAATTACAAAAAGCAATTTTGTGTTAGAGTAACATGTGCTTTGTTATTTTACACATTAAGTAACAAGATTTAGAGTGATCCAGTAACTACCATGATTTCAGACCATAAGTATAATTGATAGTTTGCAGTATCTGCAACAATGCTAACATGATATGAAAATCTGTTGATTTCTTCTGGTGAAAAAAAAATCACAGCTAATGCTAATACTATGGTTTGCTCCCTACCATCATAATTGAAGGAAATGCTAAGTTTTAGATAGAAGTTAATGAAAAGAAAAATATAGTTTTGTTTCCATCCAGTTCACAGGCTCTCTGAGTTAACCTTGTTCCAAGTGGAAGACAGAACAGACACAATAGTGACAAGAAATGAGAGAGGAACATTGAAAGCTCAGGAAACTGTATAGTTTAGCTGAAGTAAACCCTTTCTCCTTAGACACTGGGAGGCCACTGAAAGAGTTTGAATATGGAAAGATGAGATTTGAGTTTTAGAAAATTAGTTGTAGCCACACTGTGGTGGATGAGTTGGGAAAAGATGAGCGCCTTTGGAGGCTATTGTAGTAGACTCACATGCAGTGAGTCAGAACTAAAACAAGGACCAGGTATGTTAGGGAATGATTTAGGAGATACTCAAGAATTAGTATCTGGGCTTTCCTGGTAGCTCAGCTGGTAAAGAATCTGCCTGCAACGCAAGAGAGCCTGATTCAATTCCTGGGTCGGGAAGATCCCCCCGAGAAGGGACAGGCTGCCCACTCCAGTATTCTTCGGCTTCCCTCGTGGCTCAGCTGGTAAAGAATCCATCTGCAATGCGGGAGACCTGGGTTCAATCCCTGGGCTGGGAATATCCCCTGAGAAGGGAACGGCAAACCCGCTCCAGTATTCTTGCCTGAAGAATTCCATGGACAGAGGAGCCTGGCAGACCCCAGTCCATGGGGTTGCAAAGAGTTGGACATGACTGAGCAACTTTCACTTCACTTTAAGAATTAGAATGGGAAGAATTTGGTAAACATTTGAGCTAAGTGCGACAACTGAGAGAAGAAAAAGTTTTAAGAATGACTCTAAAATTTTTGGATTGGATGACTAGATAATGAAGCTGTTAGCTATTTTAGGAATGTACAGAAAGGGACAGACTTAGGGAGATAGAGCAGAGGAAGATAATGAATTTAATTTGGGGTATTTTGTTTCATTGTGTAAAATGATAGGAAATAGATATACTGGTTTCTGTCCCCAGTTCCTGATACATGGCTCCTGAAACCCTTATAAATTCCTACCTAAGGACACTGGGATCATACCTTATTTTATTGAGATGATTCTGGGTGGGTTCCTGGATGCCTCCTGGATGGAAGCTGTGAACAATCAGGCCATAATTCAAAGCTTGGAGTTTTCAGCACTGCAACCTTGCAGTTTCTCCAGAGAGGGGGCAAAGGGCTGGAAATAATCGATCATAGCTGGATTTAGTAATTGATCATGTCTAGGTAAGGAAGTGTCTATAAAAATCCAGCAGTACAGAGTTTGGGGTATTTTACCGGTTGGTGAACTAGAAGTTTCCTTGTGCCCTTATGCCAGGCCCCAGACAAGGACAGAAGCGTCTTTGTTCAGGACTTCCCCTGTATATCTCTTCATCTGGCTGCTGATTGTTCTCCATTGTAATAAGCCAGTAATCTAAGGAGTAAACTGGTTTCTCGAGACCTAGGAGCTGTCCTAGCAAAAACTTTTTTAATTGAGGCATAATTGACATACAACATTATGTTAGTTTCAGATGTACAGCATAATTATTCAATATTTGTATATATTGTGAAATGATTGCCACAAAAGTCTAGTTAACAAATGTCACCATACATAGGTACAGAATTTTTGTTTGTTTCTTGTGAGGAGAACTTTTGAGATCTGTTCACTTAGCAACTTTCAAATATGCAGTACAGTATTATTTACTATAATCACCATGCTGTATATTATATCCTGATGACTTATTTATTTTATAACTAGAAGTTTGTGTCCTTCACTCACTTCTCCCACCCCCCATCCCCAACCTCTGACAACCATCCATCTGTCCTAACTATCCATGAGCTTGTTTTTCTTGTTTTGTTTTGTTTTAGATTCTGTAAGTGAGATCATACAGGATTTATTTTTCTCTACTTATTTCACTTAGCATAATGCCCTCAAGGGTCATCATTGTTGTTGAAAATGGCAAGATTTTATTCTTTTTTATGGCTTAATAATATTCTATTACACACACTCACACATATATATACATACCACATTTCTTTTATCCATTCATATGTTGATGAGTACTTAGGCTGTTTCCATATCTTAGGTATTGTAAATAATGCTGCAGATTGTTTTTTGAATGAGTGTTTTTGTTCTCTTCAGATACTAAGTACCTAGAAATAGAATTGCTGGATCATATGGTAGTTCTATTAATTTTTTGAGGAACCTCTATACTGTTTTCCATAGTAGTTGTACCAGTTTACATTCCCATCATGATGCACAAAGATTTTCTCTACAGCCTTACCAACACTGGTTATTTCTGGTCTCTCTGACGATAGCCATTCTAACAGGTATGAGTTGGTATCTCATTGTGGTTTTTGTTTTCATTCCCCTCATGGTTAGTAATGTTGGGCATCTTTTCATGTCTCTATTGGCTGCTTGTTTGTCTTCTTCGGAAAAATGTCTATTCAGAG